TATATATATATATATATATATATATATATATATATATACACACACACACACACACATGTGTGTGTAGCTTAAGTATGCACCTTTTTGGGGTTGAACATATATTTTCAAAATGCTTGAAGTGCTTTAGGTTGCTCCTTCCTCTGTATGTATGTGTATCCTATAGCAATGTGATATCATTGCTTTAATGTAAGACATTTTATGAAATGTAGAATGAAGTTGTAGCTCATTAAATGATTTATTTTCATTTGTATCGAATTGTGTAAAATAAATTGTATGTACAATATTGCAAAATTATACATGGTATGATTTGCTTAAAACATGCATTATAAAGAAACAAGTAGTATAATGTAAGTGCTTAAATTCAGGAATTTGTATTATTTCATGAAAGCACTTGCCATTTAAAGAAATTAATATCTTGTGTTTTTTACATTTATCAAACTAATCAGTGTTTATATATGTTGTAAACAATCATTGTGTGTGCATTTGTCTATATCTTCCAATAGGTTAATATTAATAGGTGGTTGTACAGAATGACTACCTTTTGTGTGTGATGAGGTAAACTCAATATTTCAAACATTTCCAGTACTGAAATAACTAACCTACTGACTCTATTGTAACAGTAAACAGCAGACAGGATATGTGATATATAAGACATATATAGGGTTATATTTGCATGTATATATTTGTACTGGCATAACGATAAGTTATTTTATTGCACACAGTTTGTAATTGTAGCAAATGCTTCATTATTTAAAGTGATAAATATGAAACTATAAGCAGTTTCTGGTCAAAGTATAAGGTGGTTAAACATTATTGTATTAGACAAAATTACCATACAGTTTTCTATGTTGTCATATTAAACAGTGCCAGGAAAACTGCACTAGTTTAACAGTTCATTGTGTAATGCTGTAGTGTACATACAACAGTTAAACCAGTTTGGATTTTATCAGAAAACTATGTGGTGGTTCACTAGCAATAATAATAGTTTATTTATTCTGTACATACTTGTATAAAATTGGACTCTACAAAGTATTTATTAAACAAAGAAAAGCAAAGATAAGAATCATGTAATAATTCAAAAGAAATAAACATAAATAAATTAGTAGAAACATTTACATTTTGTATTGTATATACTTTGGAATGTTGCAAATTTAATGAATTTATGAATTATTTTAAATCTAAATAAAAACCTAAACCTGGTGTTCACTTGCATGTCCCAAAATCAAAAATAAGACTTGCATGTAATCTATCCAAGAAATTGTGAATCGAATAAAAAAACTTGTAAATTCACATTCATATGCTGAATGAATAAAGAAAGAATTATGTTTCTCACCCCCCATGGATGCCCATGATCACAACTCTAGAAAATGTGGTTATTGCCTTCTATTGATCAGTTACATGACCAGAATAAGGTTGAGAGTAGGTTGTTTCAAAATTCTAAAATACACCATTTCACAAAATTTTTCACCCTACACTAGAATTTTACATTATCAAACTTTTTGTAGTGGCTAAAATTTCATTAGGTTTTAGCCTTCATCTGGACATTGTGCCAGATGAGATTACTTCTGCTTTGTGTCCCTTACTGTGTAAATGTAAACTACAATCACAAAACAGTTGAAAATTGTGCCAGCTGATATTACCATGGCTGGCAAATTGTATTTACTTAGCATTAGATAGGCAACATTATCTATCATGTTTTCACTGCTTAGTTAATAGATTTTAGTTTAGTTGTTATCACTATTCATCTACCATTTTTGTAAGTTAAACTTTTAGACGAGATGAAATGAATTAATTGCAATCTGTCCATATCACTGGAATATTCTACACACAGTTGAGTAGCCCAACTTTTCTTTACAAACTGAACCCTTTACTTCTAAGTGTATGAAAGAGATGAAACACAGCATGAGGTTGAAAAAATAACCATTTATTCATGGAAGGTAAAGAAAGGAATGGCAGATCATATGAAGCAGCAGGACTATTGAATGTTTATGTGGTTCAGATTAAAATGAAATAAACTGTGATTGAACAAGAAACTAAATGAAGGAAAGCTGTGTTTAATCCAGGATAAATTAAAAAGAAAAGCCAAAAAAATGGAAACTAGGTTCAGTGAACAAACAACAACAGCAAAAAACACCTTCCCATGTTTTTGAACACTGTAACTGAACTAAACAATATAACCTTAGAAAATACTAAAATATTAAGCAGAGAAACAAATGTAAGTAACTAAGAGTTAAAGCTTTTCTAATACAATAATTTAAACCCACATTAAACCAAGTAATACTTTTATACCTATGTTAATTATTTCAATAAATGTGTTCAAGTATTGTATTACAATGTTGACTACCAATATAATAATACAATAAAATATGTACAATGCCCCCCTAAAATTTTATACATATCATTATTATTGTCCTCATGACATGTGATCAGTAACAGTCATTTTTCTAAAAGTCAGTCTTAACCTGATGATGACCTAAGCAAGCCTAAACATTGTTACTTGTTTTGTGATTTAGATAAAAGTTTTTCATACCTATATCAACCATCTCTACTATACATTTACTTCAAGTGGGTTCCTTGATGTCATAAAATACACTTCACTAACACATGATTAGTAGGTGCTAGATAAAACAATTAAACAAAAACAAGACTTCACCACAGGTCTTGTTTCTTCCAAGGCAGAAGCAAATGTGTTTTAAGAAAAACTGTATCTACAGCTCATCTTCTTTCCATAACTGACCAGTCAGAAAATGGGATCACAAATATCTCTGCCCAATGTTAGTCACAGAACAGCCCCACATCTCTGCTCCATGTTAGTCATAGAACAGCCCCATATCTCTGCTCCATGTTAGTCATAGAACAGCCCCACATCTCTGCTCCATGTTAGTCATAGAACAGCCCCACATCTCTGCCCCATGTTAGTCATAGAACAGCCCCACATCTCTGCTCCATGTTAGTCATAGAACAGCCCCACATCTCTGCCCCATGTTAGTCAGAACAGCCCCACATCTCTGCTCCATGTTAGCCATAGAACAGTCCCACACACACAAGATAATGTAGGACACATGTAACTATTCCATGAAATAATAAATAATTTCCATGATCAGACCCTGCTACATAAAGTAACATCTGGCATTAAACTCAGCACGTGACTTTGACTAGATTTTTGTATTTTGCCAAATTAGAACTTTGGGAAATTAAAAATGTATTTTATTAGTATGAAATACATACTATAAGAGAGTAATATAAATAATATTTGCCTACCACATTAGTATGGTTTGTATGGCACTAAGGAATGCATCCAATATTCCCACGCAATTGAGCACATTTTAAAGACGTGTAATCCCTTTTATCAATTTACTCATATTCTCTCAAATAGTGATTCCGTTCATTAAATGATTAAATGTAAATTATATTACATGATAATAGATACCCAAATTATAAGAATATATGAGGTATTCAGACTTGCAGAAAAAAAAAAGTTATTGTCAAAAGGTCTCGCATCACTCCTGAGCTAACTTCTTTTGCAAAGGTAAGATGAATTTGTGTATTGTGATGAGGAACTTCTTTTCATGGATTTGTATGCTGCATCTGCAATAGCAAAAATGTGAGGAACTCGCTCAAAAATTTCTCTGCCTTTGTAGTCATTCACATATTCTGGTCCATATATGTTCATTGTACGATACGGATTTACAGACACACATACCTCGCCTATGTATGTATAGATCTTTCCTGCCTCATATCTGCAAAATAACATAAAAATGTTTACTGGAATCTGTTTCAAGATTACACACATGTTCAATGCACAAGTTTCTAATAAAAATGGTTTCACAATGTTTTGTAAAGTTCCAGAGACTCTTGTATAGTGATCTCAGGTATTGTTTGTAGACTTGTTTCACACTGTTTTGTAAAGTTCCAGAGACTCTTGTATAGTGATCTCAGGTATTGTTTGTAGACTTGTTTCACACTGTTTGTAAAATTCAAGAGACTCTTGTATAGTGATCTCAGGTATTGTTTGTAGACTTGTTTCACAATGTTTTATAAAGTTCCAGAGACTCTTGTATAGTGATCTCAGGTATTGTTTTTGTAGACTTATTTCACAATGTTTTGTAAAGTTCCAGGGACTCTTGTATAGTGATCTCAGGTATTGTTTATAGACTTGTTTCACAATGTTTGTAAAATTCAAGAGACTCTTGTATAGTGATCTCAGGTATTGTTTGTAGATTTGTTTCACAATGTTTTATAAAGTTCCAGAGACTCTTGTATAGTGATCTCAGGTATTGTTTTTGTAGACTTATTTCACAATGTTTTGTAAAGTTCCAGGGACTCTTGTATAGTGATCTCAGGTATTGTTTATAGACTTGTTTCACAATGTTTGTAAGTTCCAGAAACTCTTGTATAAACTCGAGTATTGTTTGTAGGCTTGTTTCACACTGTTTGTAAAGTTCAAGAGACTTGTATCGTGGCCTAATGTATAGACAACTTTGATATATTTTTTTAAAAAATAAGAACTTGAAATGATTGAAAACAATCAATTATTTTGTGGCAATATCTCAGTGTGTTTTCCATTTTTATCAGCATTTTTTAAAATGTTTAACAAAGTATATTGTTGAGCAATATGGAATCTCTGAAAAAAAATTGATACATTTTGTAAAATTGTTTGCCAAATTGGAACTTACAATTTACCGTTAGATTTATTTATATTGTGATAAAATCTGTCTATCAGTACATAAACAATATTTTTAAAATGTGCTTAGATATACTAATGATTAATTAGGAAACAATTTTCATAAACAACCAATGGTTACTGTAAATTTAATATACCTAGAACATCAACTAAAGAAGAAATTATGCAAAAAAAGTTATCCTAAACATGACTAATTGTACAGTTGATGCTATATTGAGCATTAAACTCGGGTTCAATGAAAACAACTCCATTGTTTATATCACTTGGCAGTTTGCCATCAGAATATCCAAAAAGCTCTGATTGAGAATAGTATTTATTTAAGTTTCATTTGAAATGCTAATGTTTAAAGACCTCTTGTTAAAATATTTAGCCATCTACATAAAAAATCAGGCTGGGGTGGCGATATCATGGGAAAATGTTAATATTGGAAATAGGAAACACATTTTCTAATGTATATTCAAACACAGTTTTCTCATTTTTGTACTCACCTTTTTTTTAGCAAAATAATTTTCATTAAAAAATTTATATAGATTAAGAGTATTTTTTTCTTATATAAGAAGCCTTTATAGTGTTGTTCCAAATGTGTGGAAGCTGTTATATAGTCTTATGTTGTTGTTGTTTTTATGTAAGAAGCCTTTGTAGTGTTGTTTCATTGGTTTCTGAACTATTAAATAGTCTTATGTTGTTTTTCTCAGACTTTTCTCTAATTTCATTTAGGTGCTAAGTGATAACCATGTAAATGTTATAGAATCTTCTTAATGACATAGTAGTGTGACATTGTTACATAAAACTACATCATTAAATAGTATGTAACCAGTTTGTGGTTCGAAATCATATTGGGTTTACTGATTCTTCAGTTCTTGATTCTTTGTTCAAAGAATTCTGAACCAGTTTGGTCACTTCAGCAGGTAGCCAATAAGTTGCCTTCTGAACAAAGTGTCTTCATTGCTGTTTGGTGTGAACAACTGTCAGCTTGCTACACATGCCTTCCAAAGTACAGTACAACAAATTATTGAATATAGATTTCACCTGTGTTGAATCAAGTATTGGAAATTACTCCTTTTTACTGGGATTTACTGACCCACATACTATCACTATGTTGGAAATCAAGTTTTTCACCATTAATCTGGTACCATTTCTTTATGGATTACTTCAGTGGTATCTACCAAGTAAATGACATGTTCTGTATAGCTGTTTTAGAATTCACAGTGTTGAATTAGGGTACTGTTGTTTTACAGTTGAGATGGTGTTTGAGGGTTAGGAAGTTAACTTTTTAGTTTTAATGCATTTACATTTATTTTTAGGATTCATAAGTTGCATACTGTTTTTCATATACATGTAGGTTTCAGAGCTGTAGATATTGTTTCACAAGTGTTCAAATGTATTGTAGATTTATTGAGTTAGGATACTGTTTTTGAATTTTTTTTTGTTTGATAAGTTAAAATGATGGTTTTTCTGTTCAAATATGTCTTATGCATGTGTGTTCTGAAAATTGGAATAAAAGAAACGCATGGTTGTGAAGATAGAAGCAGATCATTTGAGTGGATGGACAATTAAAATGAAATAAAAGAAACTGCATATATTAGAAATAAAAGGAAAAACTGTTAATAGAATAAGAATTATCTGTACTTTTTTAAAAACTAAAATCAATTTTAAAAACTGATAATGGAGGACCACATTTGGCATGCTGTATGAACATTTGAGTATGGGGTCTTTGGAAGCAGAAGGGAATCTATCTGAAAGTCCCAAAAATTACCCTCACATTCCACATTCTTTCTCTATCTTACCACAAATATGGAAGTATCTCTGCTTCATGCCCGGCATGGCCAGGTGGATAAGGCGCTCGACTCACAA